AACACCATATGCTTAACAATACAGTGTTAGATGACTAAAGACTAAGGGGGACTTAGAGCCAATTTCAAGTAGTCGAATGCATTAGTGGGCAACAAATATATAAGAATTAGTTTGTAGACAAATTGAACATTGACATTTAAAATCATCTAAACTCCACAACTACACTCTCCAGACTTCATAAAGTGAGAGAGTGTGGCGATATTGTCATCTGAAATCTGATTCCAATCTGAGAGCTAGACTGCGGGAATTCAAGATAAAGAGAAAAGGATTAGTGTTCCAAAACTAAATATTTCAGGTCTAAGGGAAAATTGATATTATCGTTGGTCGAATAACGTAAAGAATACCATGGTTTTGCTCTTTTCCAAAGAATTTCGAATCAGTCTACTGTTAATGATAGTACATCTGTACATGTGCCAAACAGAAATCAAACATGAGTACTTTAAATGCTCAAGTTGAAGATGATGATTAGAACTCATGTATGTTTTTAACAGGATATACAAAGTAAATTTAAATTAAACACAATCATTCAAATAAAACATACTCCTTGATGTATACAAAAAATATACTATATAGTGCAGGATGATGAAATAGAAACGGAAACGAAAAACTTAAGGCAATTAGTATGTTTATTTATATTGTTGCCTCATGTGCGACAGATGTGTGATAAGGTGGATTATTCCTGCAGATAAACTCTTAGTCTGGTCTTGTCAGTCAGAACTATAATCTGCTCTATAGTTTAATCTGTTGTCATGTCTATGATGTGGTCTCGTCAAGTCTCGACTAAAGTCTGGGCTGTAGTCTGGCCTATAGTTCTAAATTCTCGGTGAAAATATAATGCTTATCCTTCAAATACCTTTACAACAATTAATAAATTCCTAATCTCTTCAACTCTCAAAACTTTTCACATCACCCCCGCATTCATTAATATTCATTATTATTGTAAAGTGAAGAAGCTCTTTGGTAGTTACAACTTGTTTATATAATTGTGGTGGCGATGGTGGTGATTGTAATCATATGTACTGGTATGTATTTGTATCTACATATATGGGAAAATAGGAAAATATTTACACTCGTATGTAACTGTTTAGTCGTGCGTATAAACTATACAAATAAAATAAAATATCGGAATAACACACATGTTAGCACTTCACCGGTTACAAGTAAAGTTTTGCAACATTATGTTGTTTATGTGTGGAGTAAAAAACTATAGGAGAAACAACACTAGAGAACTTTTCGAACGTGATCCAAATAATGATGATGCACTTTTCATTTCTCATACAATCTGAAAACTACATAGATATAGTCTAACGCTTAGTCATAAATTAAAGGGGAATAGGAATACATGTACATGCGTGTGAAATCGATATACAAACAGTGTGGCAAGTAATACGAAATACAATAGTCCGGACTATAGTGCGATCTATATCCTAAACTACAGTTCGAACTATAGCTATAGTATATGGCCTGCAACCTCGTTCATAGACTATAGTCTAGTCTATAGTCTAGTCTATAGTCTAGTCTATAGCCTAGTCTATAGTCTAGTCTATAGCCTAGTCTATAGTCTAGTCTATAGTCTAGTCTATAGTCTAGTCTATAGCCTAGTCTATAGTCTAGTCTATAGTCTAGTCTATAGTCTAGTCTATAGTCTAGTCTATAGCCTAGTCTATAGTCTAGTCTATAGTCTAGTCTATAGTCTAGTCTATAGCCTAGTCTATAGTCTAGTCTATAGTCTAGTCTATAGTCTAGTCTAGTCTATAGTCTAGTCTATAGTCTAGTCTATAATCTAGTCTATAGTCTAGTCTATAGTCTAGTCTAATCTAGTCTATAGTCTAGTCTATGTCTAGTCTATAGTCTAGTCTATAGTCTAGTCTATAGTCTAGTCTATAGTCTAGTCTATAGTCTAGTCTATAGTCTAGTCTATAGTCTAGTCTATAGTCTAGTCTATAGTCTAGTCTATAGTCTAGTCTATAGTCTAGTCTATAGTCTAGTCTATAGTCTAGTCTATAGTCTAGTCTATAGTCTAGTCTATAGTCTAGTCTATAGTCTAGTCTATAGTCTAGTCTATAGTCTAGTCTATAGTCTAGTCTATAGTCTAGTCTATAGTCTAGTATAGTCTAGTCTATAGTCTAGTCTATAGTCTAGTCTATAGTCTAGTCTATAGTCTAGTCTATAGTCTATAGTCTAGTCTATAGTCTAGTCTATAGTCTAGTCTATAGTCTAGTCTATAGTCTAGTCTATAGTCTAGTCTATAGTCTAGTCTATAGTCTAGTCTATAGTCTAGTCTATAGTCTAGTCTAGTCTAGTCTAGTCTATAGTCTAGTCTATAGTCTAGTCTAGTAGTCTATAGTCTAGTCTATAGTCTAGTCTATAGTCTAGTCTATAGTCTAGTCTATAGTCTAGTCTATAGTCTAGTCTATAGTCTATAGTCTAGTCTATAGTCTAGTCTATAGTCTAGTCTATAGTCTAGTCTATAGTCTAGTCTATAGTCTAGTCTATAGTCTAGTCTATAGTCTAGTCTATAGTCTAGTCTATAGTCTAGTCTATAGTCTAGTCTATAGTCTAGTCTATAGTCTAGTCTATAGTCTAGTCTATAGTCTAGTCTATAGTCTAGTCTATAGTCTAGTCTATAGTCTAGTCTATAGTCTAGTCTATAGTCTAGTCTATAGTCTAGTCTATAGTCTAGTCTATAGTCTAGTCTATAGTCTAGTCTATAGTCTAGTCTATAGTCTAGTCTATAGTCTAGTCTATAGTCTAGTCTATAGTCTAGTCTATAGTCTAGTCTATAGTCTAGTCTATAGTCTAGTCTATAGTCTAGTCTATAGTCTAGTCTATAGTCTAGTCTATAGTCTAGTCTAGTCTAGTCTATAGTCTAGTCTATAGTCTAGTCTATAGTCTAGTCTATAGTCTAGTCTATAGTCTAGTCTATAGTCTAGTCTATAGTCTAGTCTATAGTCTAGTCTATAGTCTAGTCTATAGTCTAGTCTAGTCTAGTCTATAGTCTAGTCTATAGTATAGTCTATAATAGTCTAGTCTATAGTCTAGTCTATAGTCTAGTCTATAGCCTAGTCTATAGTCTAGTCTATAGTCTAGTCTGTAGTCTAGTCTATAGTCTAGTCTATAGTCTAGTCTATAGTCTAGTCTATAGTCTAGTCTATAGTCTAGTCTATAGTCTAGTCTATAGTCTAGTCTATAGTTTAGACGATAGTCTGTAGTTTAGTAGTTAATAGTCTAGAATGGTTTATAATCTCAATTGGTCCATAGTCTCCACATCATAGTCTAGTCTATCGTCTCGGCTACAATCTGATCTATTAGCTCAACAAAAGGCTTCTTTTTTGTCTGGTCTGAGACCCCATCTATGGTCAGATCCGTATTGTTTCTTTTATTTTTTTCTACATTGTTACCCTTTATATCCCTTTCAATGATATTAAATATTTTATTACCGAATTTTATTAGTTTGTTATGTTGAGTACTGATAAGATTTCATGGCAAACATATCAACCACATATCAATAACTAGAAAAAAACAATATGTAACTTAAATCCTTGTCTGTTGTAATACATTTGGGACTATAGATTTTAGTAGTTCTTCTCAGTCAAACACTCACTTAAATACAACAGTATTGAAACGAGCTATTCGCTTAATGCACTGGTTTATTTGCTCTACCAACAGTTTTACAAGTTTTTCAACACTTTTTATATTTAGTTTTTCCTTGATTTTAAGTTTTAGTCTATATAAAAATCTTATTACGATTGCCCCATATCTTATTATTTTAGATTCTCCTTTTCTTTTATATAGTATCCGTAAAATCCTTGTGAAGGTTTTACACACAAATTAACGTTGTTTTTTTTCTTAGATGTTGCTTGATGCAAGTGTTATTTGATGTAGTTGAGTTGAATTGCTGTGCTGTGGCAGTGTAGTATTTTGTTGCAACAGCAGTAGATAGTAATAATTTTCTATTGCCACACTTACCATGACAAACAGACAAACTCTTAAGGATATTGTCAGCATATTGTTGCAGAACAGGGAAAGTTACGCAAAAAGCTTTTTAACTTTTAAGTTTAAAGGAAATTTAAAACAACGAGAAAAATTTATATTTGAATAAAGGTTGAACTTTGAAATATTTAAGATTTTTATTAACTCTAGATAAGAGCTAAATAAAAAGTCAAATTTATTTTAAGTTTTACTTTTAAAGCTAAAGTCATAGTAAGTGGCATGATAAAAAAAATAGGGAGTTACAACATGATGTGTTAGCTAAAGTCTTTTCAAGATATCTATTAAATAACCAGAACATTATAGAACTTTTCGTTAAACTTATAAAATTAGTTGTGATATTTAAATATCAATTTTCAATGCAAATATTAACACTATTATTTATAATCAGATTTTCATATTAACAGGAATTAAGCTTGTAAATAACCAGCTAAAATTCCGAAAATAAATTTAAAAATCCTTTAACATTATTAATAATAAACAAACCAAAAAAATTTAAATTAAATTTTCCACCAAAAAACTATGTATATCTATTAAAATCCTCACGTTAAACAATAAAAAACTTTTTATGCGAAAAATTAAATATTAAAAAAAACAATATACAATAAAAATATTGCACGTAGGATTTAAATTTTAAACCCCATTCGGAATCCTGGCATTATTTACGATGTTTCCCCACATAAAAAAAGAAGTAAAAATTGCAGCGTAAATGAAAAATGCAATAATATTTTCAGTTAAAATGAACATTGTCTTAGAATAAAGTGGCACTTGCAAAAAAGTATAATTCCAAACGTTATAACTATTATTGTGTCACGTTTTTGCAACATTGTTTACTGTTGCAATGTTGCTGCAGTTTTATTGCAGTAAAAACTTTTTTTTCTTGTCTCTCTTATATTTTACATTTAATGAGCGTGTTTATTTGTCGAAAATTCTGGTATCTTGGGTTGGCATTTGAATTTATATATTGTAAATGGAATTTTTAAAAACATTTTCTTTTCTCTTATTTGCAGGCTGTGCAAGGAAAGTTATTTGGTTCCAAAGAAATTGTTGCATTGTCATGTGCCTGGTGTCATGAGGTGTATCATAATAAGGAATCGTGCTTTAATCAATCAAAAATTGGTGAAGAATGTAAATTGGGTAAGTTGAAAGGAAAATTGATTAACTATTACAGGGGGAGGAAATGCTCTTTTACAGTTCAGTTCTAAATTTCAAAATATTTATATTATATGAAGAAAAATAACCTCTAAAACAAGACATAGTCCCCTCATAGTCTAGTCATAGTCTAGTCATAGTCTAGTCATAGTCTAGTCATAGTCTAGTCATAGTCTAGTCATAGTCTAGTCATAGTCTAGTCATAGTCTAGTCATAGTCTAGTCATAGTCTAGTCATAGTCTAGTCATAGTCTAGTCATAGTCTAGTCATAGTCTAGTCATAGTCTAGTCATAGTCTAGTCATAGTCTAGTCATAGTCTAGTCATAGTCTAGTCATAGTCTAGTCATAGTCTAGTCATAGTCTAGTCATAGTCTAGTCATAGTCTAGTCATAGTCTAGTCATAGTCTAGTCATAGTCTAGTCATAGTCTAGTCATAGTCTAGTCATAGTCTAGTCATAGTCTAGTCATAGTCTAGTCATAGTCTAGTCATAGTCTAGTCATAGTCTAGTCATAGTCTAGTCATAGTCTAGTCATAGTCTAGTCATAGTCTAGTCATAGTCTAGTCATAGTCTAGTCATAGTCTAGTCATAGTCTAGTCATAGTCTAGTCATAGTCTAGTCATAGTCTAGTCATAGTCTAGTCATAGTCTAGTCATAGTCTAGTCATAGTCTAGTCATAGTCTAGTCATAGTCTAGTCATAGTCTAGTCATAGTCTAGTCATAGTCTAGTCATAGTCTAGTCATAGTCTAGTAGTCTAGTCATAGTCTAGTCATAGTCTAGTCATAGTCTAGTCATAGTCTAGTCATAGTCTAGTCATAGTCTAGTCATAGTCTAGTCATAGTCTAGTCATAGTCTAGTCATAGTCTAGTCATACTCTAGTCATAGTCTAGTCATAGTCTAGTCATAGTCTAGTCATAGTCTAGTCATAGTCTAGTCATAGTCTAGTCATAGTCTAGTCATAGTCTAGTCATAGTCTAGTCATAGTCTAGTCATAGTCTAGTCATAGTCTAGTCATAGTCTAGTCATAGTCTAGTCATAGTCTAGTCATAGTCTAGTCATAGTCTAGTCATACTCTAGTCATACTCTAGTCATACTCTAGTCATACTCTAGTCATACTCTAGTCATAGTCTAGTCATAGTCTAGTCATAGTCTAGTCATAGTCTAGTCATAGTCTAGTCATAGTCTAGTCATACTCTAGTCATACTCTAGTCATACTCTAGTCATACTCTAGTCATACTCTAGTCATACTCTAGTCATAGTCTAGTCATACTCTAGTCATACTCTAGTCATACTCTAGTCATACTCTAGTCATACTCTAGTCATACTCTAGTCATAGTCTAGTCATAGTCTAGTCATAGTCTAGTCATAGTCTAGTCATAGTCTAGTCAAAGTCTAGTCATAGTCTAGTCATAGTCTAGTTATAGTCTAGTCATAGTCTAGTCATAGTCTTGTCATAGTCTAGTCATAGTCTAGTCATAGTCTAGTCAAAGTGTGGTCATTATTAGTGTCACAATGGATTTCAAAGAGTTTATTAAAAAAGTCTTAATTTAGCGAAGTCGGTATTCAAAATACCCCAGAATTTAAAACACGTGCGGGCCGCCGAAGGCCGGCTTTCCCAAACACTTTTTGAAAGGAATCCAATATGCGACATATACCAAATTTAGGAGCAATTCTTCTGTGAACAAGAGTGTCTTAAATTCTAAACAAATTTTCCAAAACATACATTTCTGTTTAAAAAGTGTAACAATGTCATACACATTGTCATAATGTCCATGGACAACATTACACCCCACTTTCATAGTCCAGCCTTAGCCTATTATTATTACTTATATTTATGACTTACCTTTGCCAGGATATTGGATAGAAGTGTCAGCTACCTGAAATTATAATAAAAATAATGTTTATTATAAAATTTTCAGATTTAATTTTAAATTCCAAAAAATATAGCTTAAAACTTATTTTATTCTATTTTAAGAACTTCAATACTAAAAATTACAATAATCAAAACCAAACACAACCCTATTTGTGCTAAAAATAGATTTTTCTTAACAATGTTTGATTATCATCATCATATTCTTGCCAAACGCTAATAAATATGAGTAATAAACTTTACCACCATGTCGTATGAGTGTTAAATAATGCATTATTTAAAATTCATACGCGACGTGGGTTCTATCATGACTTTCTTCAATAATTTAATATTATTCATATGAATGTGTTGACACTTAGATGCAAACATGCTTGAGAAATGCATTCGAGTAGAATCTTCATCACAAGAAGTAAATAATATTGCTTAGATGGAAAACAGAAACCGCATTATACACATATATATTTTTTAAAATTAAGTTTCATAAACTATTCCAAGATAACACACACTACTACTAAAATGACTGTGTTTCTAGATTCACAAGAATTTACTGACTTAACTTTCAACTCCTGCTTAATCCAATTTCTTGTTTGCATAAAGATAAATTTAAAATACTTCCAATGTGATTGAGTTTGATAATGAGAAAGTGCACAAAAAAATATAGAAACCTCAATATTTTTTTTAAAGTTGAATTTTCATTTCATGTTAACATCTATTCATTTTTTTGTTGCACGTACTATATGTTGCAAACAAAAACATATGCTTGTTTGCATATATTTATCTACATAGATGTTGCATTAATAATCTGTGTATAATAAAATCTATAAAAAAACATTTTCCTGAGGTTTTTTTGCAAACATTTGTCTAAAAAATGTATGCAAAATTTATGGATGAACTGTAATACTTGTTTACTTTTTTTTAATATTTAGTAGCTATTGCCACAGTGGTTAACATAGCTTGACTATGCATTGACTATGACTGGACTATGACCAGACTAGACTAGACTATGACCAGACTAGACTATGACTAGACTATGACTAGACTATGACTAGACTATGACTAGACTATGACTAGACTATGACTAGACTATGACTAGACTATGACTAGACTATGACTAGACTATGACTAGACTATGACTAGACTATGACTAGACTATGACTAGACTATGACTAGACTATGACTAGACTATGACTAGACTATGACTAGACTATGACTAGACTATGACTAGACTATGACTAGACTATGACTAGACTATGACTAGACTATGACTAGACTATGACTAGACTATGACTAGACTATGACTAGACTATGACTAGACTATGACTAGACTATGACTAGACTATGACTAGACTATGACTAGACTATGACTAGACTATGACTAGACTATGACTAGACTATGACTAGACTATGACTAGACTATGACTAGACTATGACTAGACTATGACTAGACTATGACTAGACTATGACTAGACTATGACTAGACTATGACTAGACTATGACTAGACTATGACTAGACTATGACTAGACTATGACTAGACTATGACTAGACTATGACTAGACTACTATGACTAGACTACTATGACTAGACTACTATGACTAGACTACTATGACTAGACTACTATGACTAGACTACTATGACTAGACTACTATGACTAGACTACTATGACTAGACTACTATGACTAGACTACTATGACTAGACTACTATGACTAGACTACTATGACTAGACTACTATGACTAGACTACTATGACTAGACTACTATGACTAGACTACTATGACTAGACTACTATGACTAGACTACTATGACTAGACTACTATGACTAGACTACTATGACTAGACTAACTATGACTAGACGACTATGACTAGACTATGACTAGACTATGACTAGACTATGACTAGACTATGACTAGACTATGACTAGACTATGACAAGACTATGACTAGACTATGACTAGACTATGACCAGACTATGACCAGACTATGACCAGACTATGACCAGACTATGACTAGACTATGACCAGACTATGACCAGACTATGACTAGTCTATGAATAGACTAAAATAACAATTTTTTGGTTTATGTTGAAAGAGTGCTAAAAACCACTGTTTCAACTAATTTTAAGTTATTCCAAACCACAAACAATACAGAAAAAAAATATGATATGTTGTAGCACTCACATACATCAACATTGTGCCACAATTTGTCAAACAAAAAGATTGTCAATTAAAAGTTTTCAAATCACAAAAACAAAGTACTTAGAAAACATTTTGATTAACATGTGAGAAAACAGTTTTGTTTTTGTCATTTATGTATATAATTTTACACTTGATCCTGTGGATTATATTTGCAAACAGCATTTTAAAATAATGTTGTAATCACATATGCGTAGGTGTGTACGTGTGATGTGTTGTGTTGTGCGATTGTGACACAAACACAATAATCAATTTGAATATTGTGTAATGGGGGCGTTTGATTTTCAAAGTTACACACTTTAAATGTATGATTTAACACTTAATGCCAGTCAAGCTGTCACTCTTGCTGTTTAAAGAGCTTTATTTATTATGATTGTAAAAACTCTAATTGTTAGACAAATATTTCTATATTTCTATTGTAGGCATATGTATTCATTTATATTTATTTTTAATCTCCAATTGCAGGTAATTATGCACCCATTATTGTGCCCCCTTCATGGATTGTTAAATTGCCCAGTAAAGGTAATTTTAAATCATCCATACGTGTCAATAATAAACAAAATGCTTCGGGTAAAAAAGCCCGAGTGGCTAGTAAAAAGGGCACTAAGAAAGAGGAGCGCAAGGAGCAAAGAGCTTTTATAGTAAAGCCCATACCCTCGCCCGAAGTGATACCGGTCATTGTTTATATTAATCCGAAATCTGGTGGCAATCAAGGTGTTAAGTTGTTGGGAAAGTTTCAACATCTTTTGAATCCTAGACAAGTGTTTGATTTGACACAAGGCGGTCCTAAAATGGGGTAAGTAAGGGGAAATTTTGTGGTGTAAACCGTATAAGAAATTTGTTGATTTCTTTTGCAGTTTGGAACTATTCCGCAAAACACCAAATTTGAGAATATTAGCTTGCGGTGGTGATGGTACCGTAGGCTGGGTTTTATCCGTACTAGATCAATTAAACCCTCCCATAACACCCCCTCCAGCTGTGGGTGTGCTGCCCTTAGGTACCGGCAATGATTTGGCCAGAGCATTGGGTTGGGGTGGTGTAAGTACTCTTAAATTCTGGGAATTTTTCCAAACTAAATTTTATTTTAATATTTTAAATTCCACAGGGTTATACAGATGAGCCCATTGGTAAAATTCTACGTGAAATTGGCATGTCTCAATGTGTTCTTATGGATCGGTTTCGTTTAAAAGTACGACTAAATGAAGATGTACCCGATGACAATGTGGAACGTAGCAAACCTAATGTACCCTTAAATGTGATCAATAATTATTTCTCATTTGGTGTGGATGCCCACATCGCTCTAGAATTTCATGAGGCACGTGAAGCCCATCCAGAACGTTTTAACTCACGTTTGCGTAATAAAATGTATTACGGTCAAATGGGTGGCAAGGATTTGATACTACGACAATATCGCAATCTCTCACAATGGGTTACACTGGAATGTGATGGCACAGATTATACGCAAAAACTAAAAGATGCTGGTTGTCATGCTGTATTATTCTTAAATATTCCCAGGTGGGTGTCTACAGCTGCAATTATTTTCTTTAAAGCAGTTGGCTAGAAATTGGCATATTTTTTTCTTTGTATTTCTTTTTACAGTTACGGTGGTGGCACTCATCCTTGGAATGATTCATTTGGTCAATCGAAACCTAGCATAGAAGATGGTCTCATCGAGGTTGTTGGCCTAACAACCTATCAATTGCCCATGTTGCAAGCTGGTCTCCATGGTACTTGCATTTGCCAGTGTCGTACGGCACGTATAGTCACCACCAAAACGATACCCATGCAAGTGGATGGCGAAGCATGTCGTGTCAAGCCCTGCATCATTGAATTGGATTTATTAAATAAGGCTGTTATGCTTGCCAAACGTAAACAGGGTCGTGGAGATGTTCAGTAAGTATTTAATTACCAGCAGCCGTTACTTTCTACTTTAAGTGGTAGTGGAGGTATGCTGAACACTTCAGGTCATTCACAATAAGGCTTTAAGGTTGAGGAAATGTGTTTCGTTTCTCTGTTTCCTATAAATTCAACTTGAAAATTACAAAAATGCTGCCATTGCTAGCACTTATGCTTGTGAAAAGGTTTATAATTGTAGTCTCCATGGTACGACTCTTGCATTTGAACTAATGAAATAAAAATGTCCTGCGATTGCTTTGGTCATGTGTGTATGACTGTTAGAAGAGGTTTTTCTTTCATCACTTTGAAAAACTTAATTAAAACGCATTCGGACAAACACACACTCAAGTAGTCGGGTTGTCAAGTAAATATTTCATTGTCGGCTAGAAAATTTTCAATTAAAATTTATTTTGACCATTATTGTCACTGTTGGGGCAAGCTTCGGTGAAAAATATAATTGTTAATTTTAGGAAAGCAATAAAATTCTACAAATATTACGTTGGAGTGGTAGATTTTAAAGAAGTTTTCACATAAAGCTAGTTTTCTGTGGCCTCGTTTCTGAAGATTACTTATGAAGATGGTTAGTAGGACTACTAGGGACTGGTTATTTCAATTAAATGTCCTTTTAAAACTGAAATAGTGACACGCAAATAATTACACTGTTAATCTTGAAATCATCATGACTTATCAAATAATAAATCCTTGAAATCTGTAAACGAAAGCCTTGTTTACTTACTGCAAAATGCATTCTCATTTAAAAATTTCATTCCTTCATCATATCCTTATTGTCCATATGTCATAGGTATTTCTTTTACTACCTTTAGACATTTTAATAAAATCAAAAGGAAGTCCAGTAGACTTTTTTTCTTACGCCATTCTTATGCCATGTGTTTCAAAAGAATTTGTGGTATTCATAAACCACACAATCTATATACGATTGGCATGTTATCCTTTATCCTTGTTACATTTCCAATCATCTCAGCATGATGCTCATGGTTCAGACCACAAATTCAATATTTACCGGACATTTTCATGTAGTTTTTTTTTTCTTTATTTGATAAAGTACTTGCTGATTTCTAGAGTAATTTATATGCAACTGACATCTCAACTCATCTCATAAGTGTTCATGCATTTTAATGACATGATGAGTGTGAGGAATAAAACCAGTAGTATGAATGATGTGCTTTGAGCATCTCATAGCGATGATGATGTTGATGATGGTTACTTGTATTCAACACTTTTGAGGTTTTCCATTTATTTGTTTTTCAATATCAACAACATTAAGAAAGTAAAGGTCTCTTTAGACAATAAATGAACTACTTAAGATATTGGTGCTATTTTAGGATGAGATTGTTATGTAAAGATTGGAAAAATAGTAATTTTGATGCGACTTAATGTATTGTATACATATCCGGGTTTCTGCTATGATGCTTTCCTTTCGGGTTTTATATGTTTATAAATAAAGATCTGGAGATATTCTCTATTTTTCAGGATCTCTAATACGTGATGCTTGATCATTAACTTAAAGCCTAGAGATGAGAGAGGATCTTTTCCTCTGATATCTAGACTATGACTAGACTATGACTAGACTGTGACTAGACTATGACTAGACTATGACTAGACTATGACTGGACTATGACTGGACTATGACTAGACTATGACTAGACTATGACTAGACTAGACTATGACTAGACTATGACTAGACTATGACTAGACTGTGACTAGACTATGACTAGACTATAACTAGACTGTGACTAGACTATGACTAGACTATGACTAGACTATGACTAGACTATGACTAGACTATGACTAGACTATGACTAGACTATGACTAGACTATGACTAGACTATGACTAGACTATGACTAGACTATGACTAGACTATGACTAGACTATGACTAGACTATGACTAGACTATGACTAGACTATGACTAGACTATGACTAGACTATGACTAGACTATGACTAGACTATGACTAGACTATGACTAGACTATGACTAGACTATGACTAGACTATGACTAGACTATGACTAGACTATGACTAGACTATGACTAGACTATGACTAGACTATGACTAGACTATGACTAGACTATGACTAGACTATGACTAGACTATGACTAGACTATGACTAGACTATGACTAGACTATGACTAGACTATGACTAGACTATGACTAGACTATGACTAGACTATGACTAGACTATGACTAGACTATGACTAGACTATGACTAGACTATGACTAGACTATGACTAGACTATGACTAGACTAGACTATGACTAGACTATGACTAGGACTATTGACTAGACTATGACTAGACTATGACTATAACCTAGTCCTTACAAGTAACTGCACGCATGTATAAAAATCAGACAAAGCCAGACAGAGTTAATTCTCAATCTTTTCCAATATCTACTATAGTCCAACTATAGCTTTAACTGCTTTCTTTTAGACAACATTGGCCTATTGTATATTATTTTTCCACTCATTCTCTACAATCAGTTTATTGCTAACATAATCTTACACTAATATCTCTCTCAACTTACAGAGTCAATCCTTTGGAAAGATTACAATTGGTCATATTGCGTGTAACAATGGATCAATATGAACGTCATCACTACGACAAGCCAATGCTGCGTAAATTGGCCAATAAATTGGGTATCGTGGAAATCGACTCCCAATGTGATCTCGAACAAGTGCGCAATATGTTAAATGAAAAATTCGAACAATCAATATCGTATCCAAAAGTATCACAAGATTGGTGTTTCATAGATTGTAAGTGGACTCTTTTATATAATTACTTAAGGCATAACTTTTAATAACCTCTTCTCTTTCCCTTAGCTTGTACTGCTGAGCATTTCTTCCGCATCGATCGTGCCCAAGAACATCTACACTATATTTGTGACATAGCCGCCGATGAGTTATTTATATTGGATCATGAAGCGGCTACCATGCCGCAAACACCCGATCAAGATCAGGAACGTTCATTTTCGGCTTACTCACAGCGTCAGGCCCAAGAGCGTCGCAATATGGAACAAGGACGTTCGGGTAGTACTGGTATGACCTTACCTTATGCTTATAAACGAATGTTTTGCCATTATTATTATCGCAAAAAAACAGTACAAATTTAAAGTTTTGTTTACGAAACACAAACTGTTACCGTTTGCTTTTGTTTTACAACAATTTACAACTTTTTTTGAAATGAATGAACAAATTGTAAAGTGTTCTTTCCATACTACACAAACACAATCAACAACACACGATAAGAAACACAACTTTTTTTTAGACTTTATAAGTTAGTTTTGCTCTCTCTCTATCTCTATATCTTTGTATAAATATCCTTTTTACACTTTGAACTTTGAAAGAAAAAGATTTCAGCATACAGCTTAGTCCTTGCTGGCTAAAAACAAACACATACAAAAAACAAAATACACGGCATTATCAACATAGTACAGCAAGGAGTATGTAAGTATTACGACGAATTTGCTGTTGTTCCGAGATATAATGTATTTTACCTAATGTATATTGACAGCAAAGGCTAAACCGTATACCGATATCTTCGTAACAAAAATAAATTGTTTTGAAAATTTACCAATTATTAAAATAAATCATTCAAAATATGAACTCCCCTACACCTTCTCCTCTACCACCTTAACCACTCAATGTTATTCTAGGTAGGTTTAAGCATTTTATTTTATTTTTAAAATAAATCTATTAGGGGGCTTGACGATCTGTTATACAATTTCATAAAGATTTAAATTGGAATATTAGAATATTTAATAAAATTTATTTATAAAGTTTAACATATCGTGAAAAACCCTTTTCTACTTTTTTCATTTCCTTTTCATTTCTTCTTATTTCTAATTTAATTTTCTTGAATTTAATTTATTTGCTTAATTAAAGAGGATATAAAAATTGGAAAACCAATTAAAGTTATTAAATTTAAAAGGTAAAATCATTGATCATAATATTACAAAAGTAGTTTTTGAATTTTCTTTTAACGAAAAACATTTAAATATTAAAATATTGTAAAACATGCAGCCGCCATGATCGTTTATTTAGTTTCAATGAAGAAGTTTTTGGTTATGGAATCAGGTATTTGAATTTTATATTTATATTATTTTTTATATCAAATTTAGTTTTCAACTATTGAGCCCTTAATAAGTCTATTAGTTTTAAGATATTGAATAGGAAAAGTTTTAGTTATGTTCGAAATTTGACACAGTTTTAACTCTATAGCCCTCAGATATGAATGCTTTCATATAAGAAAGCTTAGTCCTCAAGCTAGTAATAGAGCTTTCCATAAAGGAAAGTTTGAAATGTTAGCTAGCAATACAGTTCTTTATAAAGGAGAGCTAGAGCTGCCATCTAGAGATAATACGTTATGTATAGAAAAGCTTAAGCTGATGGATAGCGGTGGAGACGAAGAAACCTCCTCTATAACCCTCATAAAGGAGTGCATATGCTCCCTTTTATATATAAGAAAGAAAGTTTCATATAAGAAAGTTTGAACTGCTAGCTGTCTATACAGTTCTTCATTAAGGAGAACTTGAGCTGCCAGCTAGCGATAAAGATTTCTCTTTAGAAAAGCTGGAGTTGCTGACTTTCGTTAGAGCTTTATGTATAGAAAAACTTGAGCTGCTGGCTAGTGATAGAACTTTATGTATAGAAAAGCTTTAGCTGCTAGATAGCGATAGAGCCTTCTGTTTAGAAAAAGCTTACCTAAAGCTTTCTGTATAAGAAAGATGGCGAGCTAACAATAGAGCTTTCTTAATAAGATACCTTAAGAGCTAGCAATAGAGCTTTCTTAGTAGGAAACCTTGAGTGCTTGCGAGAGAGGTAGAAAGTCCAAATCTTATTAATCTGCAAGCCAGAGATTGAGCTTTCTTATGCGAAAATATGAACTACTAGTAATTAATACCGTTCTTCATATAGGAGAGCATGAACTGCCAGCCAGCTATAAAGCTTTCTCTATAGTAAAGCTGGAGTTGCGTTAGAGCTTTATGTATAGAAAAGCTTTAGCTGCTGGCAAGCGATAGAGCTTTATGTATAGAAAAGCTTTAGCTGCTAGAGTCATCGATAAAGCTTTCTGCTTAGAAAAGCTTAGCTAGAGCTTTCCGTATAAGAATGATTGAGAGCTAGCAATAGAGCTTTCTTAGTAAGATATTTCTATATAGAAAAGCTTGAGAGCTAGTGCTAGAGCTTTCTGTAATAGAAAAAATGAGTTAGTAACAGAGCTTTCTGCATAGAAAAGCTTTGCAGCTAACGATACAGCTTTAGTTATAGAAAAACTTGACAGGTAGCGGTAGAGCTTTCAGTAAAGAAGAACTTGAATGCTTGCGATCAGTTTTCTGCATGGAAAAACTTGAAAGCTAGAGATGAAGATTTATGCGTACAAATGCTGGAGATTTAGCCATAAAGTAGCATAAGAGCAAGTGTCGAAACTCTGAGCTGGGACCTAGCAAGAAAAGCTTTTCATTTAGGAATATTAGAGATCCTAGTTGGTTTTGAAGAAAGGAATGTAAACGGTAAATATATGTTTCTCCTTCTTATAGGATAACTTTTAAAGGTTTTATTTACTTGTTAGTACAATTTAAGTTTAATTTAAAGAAGCTTTAAGCTTTTTAAGTTTAAGTATTACTTAAGTTTAATATTTATTTATAGTTTTTAATTTTAATCTACATTAAATTTATTTCCTTTATTCTTTCTCTTTATTCTACTCTCCCAACTCGCACAAACACACACATACACAAAACAAATATACAAACTATTCAAGTCCTATATTGGAGCAAACTTCCGATGCCGTATTATTAGCTGCACAAAGTGGCGATTTAAATATGGTAGTTTTTATTTCAAATATTCTATTTACTCTATGTTTATTTTATACTTCAATTTAAAAATTTATTTTAATTCTTTTTAACTTTATGTATATCATATCATATAATAATCCTGTCCTGTACTGTACTGTCCTCAATAAAAGCTTAAAAAATACAGTTGTTGTTGTTGCTGTCCTCCTAAGTCAAACTCAAAATATGTCTAAAGTAAATTTTGTCTTACTATGAAATAAAATAATTAAACATTTACTGGTTATTTTGTTTATATATAAATTTTCTGTTGAAAATAAAATAACTGGTAGAGGTTTATTTGTAAATTGTATTATATTGATTTTTTTATTTCTTGTTGAAATTATTATTTTATTTAGAATTCTATTGTTATATAAGTAATAATTGGTTTTCTGGTTTTTCTTTTACAGTTACGTGCACTACATGAACTAGGATACTCATTACAAACAACCAATACAAAAGGACATACTGCTTTACATTTTGCTTGCAAATATAATAATAAGGATATTGTTAAATATATACTATCATGTGCCTCACGTCGTTTAATTAATATGGCCGACAAGGAGAAGTAAGTAAATCTATTTCGAAAAGTAAATCGAAACGAAAACGTTCAAAAGGAAAGCTTGAGCTGGTAACTAGCGAGACAGAGTTATTTTGTGTAGGATAACTTGTGATACACGCTAGCATTAAAGAATTATGTAAAGAACAGCTGCAGCTATTCGTTATCGATAGAACTTTCTGTAGTGGACTACTCGCTAGAGCTTTCTGTGGAGAAAAGCTTTACGCTAGTTATAGAGTTATAGAGGAAAGCTTGAGTTGATAGCTAGCGATAGAACCTTTTTTAAATAAAATCGTAAGCTACTCGCTAGCGTTAGAGCTTTCTGTAGAGTAAAGCTTGAGCAACTCGCTTGAGCTATTCGCTAGCCACACAGCTTTCTGTAGAGTAAAGCTTGAGCTACTACTAGCCATAGAGCTTTCTGTATAGAAAGGCCTAAGCTACTCACTATCGATGGAGCTTTATGTATAGAAAAGCTTCACCTACTCGTTAGTGTTAGAGACTTCTGTAGAGAGAAGCTTAGGCTATTTGTTTACAATAAAGCTTTATGTATAGGAAAGCTTGGCATATTCGCTAATAGATAGATCTTTCTGTAAACGCTACCGATAGAACTTTCTGTACAGGAAATCTTCGACTAGACACTAGAGATGGAGCTTTCTATATTGTTAATTTTCGATAGAGCTTTATGGTTACGGCATATATATTTCTTGTTGAGAGTAAAGCTTCCTATTTTCTACAAATTGATCGATAAAGCTTTTTGTATAGGAAATATTGCTAGCAATTTTTTCACTTTCACATTCTATTTTTACTAAAATTCAATTTTTCACTATAAATTAGAGTTTTCACTAAAAATTTAATTTTTACAAAAAATTTGATTTTTCATTAAATTTTAAATTTATTGCAAAAAATTATTAATCGACTTTTCACTAAAAAGTGAATTTTTTACCAAAAAATATAATTTTCTAAAAAAAATCAAATTTCGAATTTTCACTGAAAATTCACTAAAAATTAGATTTTTCACTGAAAATTCGAGTTTTTACTAAAAAATCCATTTTTCACTAAAAAATCCATTTTTCACTAAAAATTCGAATTTTCACTAAAAATTCGATTTTTACTAAAAATTAGATTTTAACTGAAAATTTGATTTTTCACTGAAAATTAAATTTTTCACTAAAAATTCAATTTTTCGCTAATAAGAAAATTTTTACCAAAAAAATTAGATTTTTCAAAAAAAATTCGAAAATCAGATTTTGCACCAGAAAATCAATTTGTCACTGAAATTTTATTTGATTTTGAAACAATACTATAGACAAGTTTTTAGAAAAGATTTTAACTGGACTTTAGACGAGATTTAGGTAAGACTGTAGACGATTCTTTAGACAGAACTTTATTAAGGGACTTTAGACGATCCTTTAGACAATAAGCGAGACTCATTTCAACAAAAATCTCGATGCCTAACCTCGTTTTAGAATAAAATTAAACGATATTATAGATAGGTCTTTAGGCGATATTAGGACGTGACCTTAAGGTGATATTAAGACGTGACTATAGATGAGATTTATATCAGACTTTAGAAGAGATTCATAGAAGAATTTAAACGAGACATAAGGTTTCTAATTTAGACGAGACTTTAGACAAGATTTAGATTTGACGTAATACTAGATATATATAAGACTTTAGACAAATCATTGAGCAAGACTTTAGATGATATTTCGCTGAGGCGCTAAATGAGATTTATATCAGACTTTAGACGAGATTTATAGAAGAATTTAGACGAGACATTAGGTCTCTATTTTTGACGAGACTTTAGACAAGATTCAGATCAGAATTAATACTAAATTTATGTATGTAAGACTTTAGAAGAATCATTGGCCAAAACTTTGGGCGAAACGTTTTAGAATAAATTAGACAACACTATAGATATAACTTTAGGCTATATTAATACGAGACTAGATGATATTTAGATGACACTCTAGAAAAGACTTTAGATGAGATTTATAAAAGAATTCAGACGAAACATAAAGTCTCTGATGCTGTTCTAATTATATTCAAAATCACTTCTTTAAAACAAAATTTCCGAATAAACTGCCTTTTTGTAAACAAATTATAAAAAATCTATTAAATTTTTTCTATTTTCAGGGGTTCTACAGCATTACATATGGCGGCTGAATTAAATCGACGTGATATTTGTGTAATGCTTGTAGCAGCTGGAGCCAATATAGAGGCTCGTGATATGTGTGGCAATACACCAATGATGGTGGCATTTAATAAAAATGCCAATGAAATTGCCTCATATTTGGAAAGTAAGCAAAACATTAAAAAAACAAAACTACTATAATTATTAAAAAATAAAATATACTCATAGTAATTAAAAACATTAATGTAAACTTAAATGAAAAAAATACAGAGAAAACAATCATTAGTTTAAAAGTAAACTAAAGCTTTTTTGAATTTAAACCTTAAATAGTTTTTGGCTAAAACAAACTCCCACATGTAAAAGCAGTATAGATAAAAATAAAAGTAATTTTAAAAAATTAAATTATTTATAGAAAAAGTATTGTTAAAATAAGTAAAAGAAAAAAACATTTTTTGCTAGAATATTTTCTTTTTGGAATCTTGTATAGAAAAAATAATATTTATAACATAAAACAAATTAATAATAATAATAATTTTCTTAATTTTTTTTCTTATGTTTTTCTTAAAATACAAAACCAAACAAATGCACTAATTACACATTTTATTTTTTAAAAAAATAAAATTATTGAAACTTTATAACACCATGCAACCAACAAAACTTCTCGAACAAAACAACTATATTTATAATATAAAACTAATTTAAAAAAAAAAAATATTTATAACTTAAAACTGTATTTGAATATAAAATTTATAATAAATTTTAATTCATTTTTAAAACATTCCATTAATTTAATTAATAAAATTTTATATATAAATTAAGGTCAAGAAAGATTTTTGCACATGGGTGTGCAAACTAAATAAAATTTATAATTTAACTTAAAGAAACTCTTTTTTTAAAATTTTTATCTTTCAAAAAAAAAATAATTGATCTTTTTTTTAATATATAAAATAAGTGCTCCCAAAACTCATATTTAAGCTTGAATTATAAAATTTAATATTAGAAATAATAAGGTTTAAAAAAAGGTTTAATTAATATATAAAAATTAAGTCTTATATTAATTATTTTCTTTCCCAAAATTACTAAAAAAAAACAAATATTAATTAAAACCACTAAAATACCCTTAAATTATAAACTTAAAAACAACTTTTAAGAAACGATTATTGTGATATAAAATTAAAATTGGAATTCTAAAGGAATGTAAATTATTAAAAAACAAAACTAAAAAAACAATAAAATTTATTTTATTTAAGTGTAAATTAACAACAAAAAAAACTAAATAGAACGCAAACTACTTATAGTAATAATTATTTAAAACAATTAAACATACGGGTAGTATGAATTGATATTAAAATTAATTCAATAAAACTCATGCAAAAAAGTGAAAAAATAATTTATCTAACAAAACAAATTTTATTGTAAATATTTAATTTAATTATGCTAAACAACAACAAAAAAAAGAAAATCAATCAAATATTTATTAATTAACTCAAAAAAAGTCCATTTTATTAACAAATATAATAATTATTTAAAATCAAGATGAAATTACAAAAAATTTTACTTTAAAAAGACAACTTCTAAACAAATTAAATGAAAAAATTAAAAAAAAAAAAAAAAATTATTTCGAAAATATAATTTAAAATTTTACAAATGATAGTAGAACATTTTGAAAAATTTGTCTGCCTTTTGATAAAGAACCAACCAAATCAACCCACTTAAAAAGAGAAATTCATAAATTATATGAATATTCATAGATAAAATGAATTATTTTCATTAATTCGGTTTTAATTCTAAACTTCGGTTGAGTTACATTGAATGAATGTAAAGTTTACTTTGATTTGATGTAATGTCGCTTAGTATTTGAAATATATTAAAGTATAAAGTATTCAATAATTCTTTATATCGATGTAAAGTTTACCTTGATTCGTTGTAATTGTACATTGACTTTATGTAGTTGTACATTCAATCGTTGTACTTATGTTCAGTTACATTGAATCTATGTAAATGTTACTTTGTTTTGATGTAATTCTACATAGATTCAATATATTTCTGCTTTCATTGAAATGTGTTAAAGAATAAATACATAGTACTCTTATTGATCTTATGAATGTCTATCATCAATCGTTATACATTTTGTCTTGAATGAATCTAGTCTTCTTATCGTGAGGCATTTTTTGTAAAGAAATTAAATTTTCTAACCAGTATTCCCGAGGAATGTTATATGTATCTGGAATAACATCGATCGCAAGATATTGGCATCTAATTTCGATGAAAGCATGAAAGCAGTTTTGCGTCTCACTTGCACTGCTGAACGATTAAAACTTGTGAACAAATGAAAGGGAGACTATTTTTCGAAGCTGTTTTAAGTTTAAATATTTTTGAAAAGATTGACCTTTTCACCTTTTGAAGCAGGTTATATAGCTAAGACTTCTATCATTTGTTAAAATTTTAAAGAACCAAAAAATAATTTATTAACACAGTTCTAATGAAAACAACTTGAAATGCTGAAGCATCATTTTATAAATCTAAACTTCTTTTCGAAAGCAACATAAATTTCAGTTCTAGTTCAGTACTAGTTCAGTTCTAGTTTAGTTCTAGTTCAGTTCTAGTTCAGTTCTAGTTCAGTTCTAGTTCAGTTCTAGTTCAGTTCTAGTTCAGTTCTAGTTCAGTTCTAGTTCAGTTCAGTTCTAGTTCAGTTCTAGTTCAGTTCTAGTTCAGTTCTAGTTCAGTTCTAGTTCAGTTCTAGTTCAGTTCTAGTTCAGTTCTAGTTCAGTTCTAGTTCAGTTCTAGTTCAGTTCTAGTTCAGTTCTAGTTCAGTTCTAGTTCAGTTCTAGTTCAGTTCTAGTTCAGTTCTAGTTCAGTTCTAGTTCAGTTCTAGTTCAGTTCTAGTTCAGTTCTAGTTCAGTTCTAGTTCAGTTCTAGTTCAGTTCTAGTTCAGTTCTTGTTCTGGTTCAGTTCTAGTTCTAGTTCAGTCCTAGTTCAGTTCTAGTTCTTGTTCAGTTCTAGTTCAGTTCTAGTTCTTGTTCAGTTCTAGTTCAGTTCTAGTTCAGTTCTAGTTCAGTTCTAGTTCAGTTCTAGTTCAGTTCTAGTTCAGTTCTAGTTCAGTTCTAGTTCAGTTCTAGTTCAGTTCTAGTTCAGTTCTAGTTCAGTTCTAGTTCAGTTCTAGTTCAGTTCTAGTTCAGTTCTAGTTCAGTTCTAGTTCAGTTCTAGTTCAGTTCTAGTTCAGTTCTAGTTCAGTTCTAGTTCAGTTCTAGTTCAGTTCTAGTTCAGTTCTAGTTCAGTTCTAGTTCAGTTCTAGTTCAGTTCTAGTTCAGTTCTAGTTCAGTTCTAGTTCAGTTCTAGTTCAGTTCTAGTTCAGTTCTAGTTCAGTTCTAGTTCAGTTCTAGTTCAGTTCTAGTTCAGTTCTAGTTCAGTTCTAGTTCAGTTCTAGTTCAGTTCTAGTTCAGTTCTAGTTCAGTTCTAGTTCAGTTCTAGTTCAGTTCTAGTTCAGTCCTAGTTCAGTTCTAGTTCAGTTCTAGTTCAGTTCTAGTTCATTTCTAGTTCAGTTCTAGTTCAGTTCTAGTTCAGTTCTAGTTCAGTTCTAGTTCAGTTCAGTTCTAGTTGTAGTTCAGTTCTAGTTCTGTTCTAGTTTTGTTCTAGTTCTGTTCTAGTTCTGTTCTAGTTCTGTTCAAGTTCTGTTCTAGTTCTGCTCTAATTATGTTCTAATTCTGTTCTAGTTCAGTTCTAGTTCAGATCTAATTAAGTTTTAGTTCATTTCTAGCTAAGTTTTAATTTAATTCCTACTAAACTGGAAAAAAATGGTTGCATTTTATTAAAAAAATAGATTTTAGTAGTGGATTTTTTAAAATATAAAAAAAATTTTACAAAATGTATTATTATTTTAGAACTGTGTTAATGATAATTTTATATTTTATGAAAAATTTTAAATTAAAAATTATCTATAAAAATATAATTTGTTTAGAAATATTTTTGGCAGAGTTTTTAATTGATTTTTAAAAACAATTTTGTTAAATACATGTAATTTTCATTACAAGAACCAAAATTTACAAATAAGTTTTATTTATAATAAAAACCAATTTATATGAACATTTAATTTTTAATTTCAAAAATTATAAAGAAAAATAAAATTATTACCATATAATTTAAGGTATTTTTTTGGAAAATTAAAAAATAATCCAATAAAACAATCTACTGCAAATTTTTAGAAGAAGCCCCAAAAAAGATTTGCAATACATTGTTTTAAAATTAATATTAAAATAAAACAAAAAACTATTAGTAGACGAAGACAATCGCAATATTTAAAAAATAATTAAAAGAGAAAAAACTTAAATATTTCTATAATAAAAACTTAAAACTAATGTTTCTTCTTAAATATTTTACTAAATGGAAGAAAATAAAAACTAATAAAAAAAAACTTGAAAAGCAATTTAGTATTAATTTAAAAATAAAACATAAAACAATGAATAAACTATTAAATACAAAAACAAATATTTATATTAAAACTCACTCTCTAAAACTTCCTTTTGCATTGTTTAAATGTAAAACATAAAAATATAGAAAATTCTTTTACTTCTTAAAACAAAAACAGCACCTTTTTTTAAAACAATTAAAAAACATTTTAAAGACACCTTTAATAAAAAAAAACAAAAACTACCACAACAAAGTAAAACATCAACAACAAACACACTTGTTCGGAGTTAAACCGGGTCCAAGTAATAATTATTATAAACTTGAATATAATTTTTAAAAGAATATTTAATTTTCAAAAAATATTTGTGTTTTAATATTTAATAATTAATTGCAAAATATTTTTTTATTTATTTCAATTACAATGCAATTGAGAACATAAAAAGAAAAAAATAATTATTAAAGAAAAACAAATAATAATAATAATTATACTTGTAACGAAAGTCTTATGATTCTTAGTATTTAAGACAATTTTTGTTTTATGAAAATATTATTTTAATTTTGTTTTCTTAAAATAAATGAAAAAGCCATTTAAAAAAATGGTGTATTGTACATAATTAAGACATTTATGAAAATCAAAATATTTAAATTTATTTATTTTAATTTATTGGTATTTGTTTAATAAATTATTTTAATTTTAGTTTGTATCTTCTTTTGCTTTAAGGGGAGATTGAATAAAGTTTTGAAAAAAGGAAACTAATTAAAAAATATTTTGTTTGTTTTATTTTTGATCATTTTTTAATAATATTTTTATTTTTTCGAAAGTAGATTTCCGGTTCTTCTTTAAAAAATATAGAATGTTACTCAGTTAATTTTCTTGTTCTAGTTTAGTTCTAATTCAGTTCTAGTTCTAATTCAGTTCTAGTTCAAATCCAGTTCAGTTCTAGTTCAGTTCTAGTTCAGTTCTAGTTCAGTTCTAGTTCAGTTCTAGTTCAGTTCTAGTTCAGTTCTAGTTCAGTTCTAGTTCAGTTCTAGTTCAGTTCTAGTTCAGTTCTAGTTCAGTTCTAGTTCAGTTCTAGTTCAGTTCTAGTTCAGATCTAGTTCAGTTCTAGTTCAGTTCTAGTTCAGTTCTAGTTCAGTTCTAGTTCAGTTCTAGTTCAGATCTAGTTCAGATCTAGTTCAGTTCTAGTTCAGTTCTAGTTCAGTTCTAGTTTAGTTCTAGTTAAGTTCTAGTTAAGTTCTAGTTCAGTTCTAGTTCAGTTCTAGTTCAGTTCTAGTTCAGTTCTAGTTCAGTTCTAGTTCAGTTCTAGTTCAGTTCTAGTTCAGTTCTAGTTCAGTTCTAGTTCAGTTCTAGTTCAGTTCTAGTTCAGTTCTAGTTCAGTTCTAGTTCAGTTCTAGTTCAGTTCTAGTTCAGTTCTAGTTCAGTTCTAGTTCAGTTCTAGTTCAGTTCTAGTTCAGTTCTAGTTCAGTTCTAGTTCAGTTCTAGTTCAGTTCTAGTTCAGTTCTAGTTCAGTTCTAGTTCAGTTCTAGTTCAGTTCTAGTTCAGTTCTAGTTCAGTTCTAGTTCAGTTCTAGTTCAGTTCTAGTTCAGTTCTAGTTCAGTTCTAGTTCAGTTCTAGTTCAGTTCTAGTTCAGTTCTAGTTCAGTTCTAGTTCAGTTCTAGTTCAGTTCTAGTTCAGTTCTAGTTCAGTTCTAGTTCAGTTCTAGTTCAGTTCTAGTTCAGTTCTAGTTCAGTTCTAGTTCAGTTCTAGTTCAGTTCTAGTTCAGTTCTAGTTCAGTTCTAGTTCAGTTCTAGTTCAGTTCTAGTTCAGTTCTAGTTCAGTTCTAGTTCAGTTCTAGTTCAGTTCTAGTTCAGATCTAGTTCAGTTCTAGTTCAGTTCTAGTTCAGTTCTAGTTCAGTTCTAGTTCAGTTCTAGTTCAGTTCTAGTTCAGTTCTATTTCAGTTCTAGTTCAGTTCTAGTTCAGTTCTAGTTCAGTTCTAGTTCAGTTCTAGTTCAGTTCTAGTTCAGTTCTAGTTCAGTTCTAGTTCAGTTCTGGTTCAGTTCTAGTTCAGTTCTAGTTCAGTTCTAGTTCAGTTCTAGTTCAGTTCTAATTCAGTTCTAGTTCAGTTCTAGTTCAGTTCTAGTTCAGATCTAGTTCAGTTCTAGTTCAGTTCTAGTTCAGTTCTAGTTCAGTTCTAGTTCAGTTCTAGTTCAGTTCTAGTTCAGTTCTAGTTCAGTTCTAGTTCAGTTCTAGTTCTGTTCTAGTTCTGTTCTAGTTCTGTTCTAGTTCTGTTCTAATTCTGCTCTAATTATGTTCTAATTCTGTTCTAGTTCTGTTCTAGTTCTGTTCTAGTTCTAGTTCTGTTCTAGTTCAGTTCTAGTTCAGTTCTAGTTCAGTTCTAGTTCAGTTCTAGTTCAGTTCTAGTTCAGTTCTAGTTCAGTTCTAGTTCAGTTCTAGTTCAGTTCTAGTTCAGTTCTAGTTCAGTTCTAGTTCAGTTCTAGTTCAGTTCTAGTTCAGTTCTAGTTCAGTTCTAGTTCAGTTCTAGTTCAGTTCTAGTTCAGTTCTAGTTCAGTTCTAGTTCAGTTCTAGTTCAGTTCTAGTTCAGTTCTAGTTCAGTTCTAGTTCAGTTCTAGTTCAGTTCTAGTTCAGTTCTAGTTCAGTTCTAGTTCAGTTCTAGTTCAGTTCTAGTTCAGTTCTAGTTCAGTTCTAGTTCAGTTCTAGTTCAGTTCTAGTTCAGTTCTAGTTCAGTTCTAGTTCAGTTCTAGTTCAGTTCTAGTTCAGTTCTAGTTCAGTTCTAGTTCAG